ATGGGAATGAATTATATTTTGATTTATGGTATGGTCTGTAATTCATGGCTGCAATATATTGTATTTTTACATTGTGTTTATGATGAGTTATATATGTAGTATTTCATGTCATATTTGTACCTTTTTCATTTGGAAATTATTTATAGGAGCATATAGATATATGTTTAGTCATTTACTATCAGGTGGTTAATGTGGGGTCTAAATCTAACTATCCTTAATGTAATAGCCTTTTATCCTATATGGCTATGTGAACTAATTATTCCTTGATTCCTTCCAGGTATTTGCTCACTCCCTTTTTCTTGGTCTTGGCTTCATGTCATTCAATTCTTCAAACATGTCCCTTTTCTGTCTTCATCACGCTTTTCAATGTTTTCATCCTAAACCATCCCAGTGCTTGCTGTTGAGTTGTCTTTAAGAGAATTGTTGTTTTCATAGGGGTGATAAAGATGTTAATATTTATCATTTGCCTGATAAATACTATATTTTTCCTCTCCTCCTCTTCTGTGTTGTTATTATTATTATTATTTTTTCTTTCAAAGGAAGGTAGCCTCACTCTTTCACAACACAGCCTGTTGGGGAGTTGTCAAAACTTGTATTTAAAATCTAAAATGTCTTTTCTACTAAAGAAGCAAGTTATAGTAAAGATGTTAGAATAAGTTTCAGGACAGTGGACTGGATGTTCACATGGTAAAATTGGATTCAATACTTTCTGTATTCTTTACTCTCGTAAATAAGATGCCTGAACAGTTTCATCATAGAGCCCCTTTTTATCTATTCTTTTTTGGATTTTATATCAGGGAAGGGAACATTTTAGTTTTATCCAAGAGATTGAAGGAGGAAGTCCATATTCCCAAGTATCTGTAGAACATGTGCACGATTCTGATATTCATGGTTCTATGTCTTCCGGTTCTCATCCAAATAATAGCGGAGTACTTTCAGAAAATATAGATAAAATGTGGGTGAGTAGCGCAGCGGCATTGGAAACTGAAAATGCTCAATCAGGTGAATCTTTTCTGAGCTTCAATATGTCTAGGTTTTCAGCACATCATAAATTGTGAATCGATTCCATTTTAGAAAATGTAAGATAGTTTTCTAGATTATGAATGCATTAATGTCTTTCATATTCTACTGATGAGTATGACAGTTGATGTAGAATATAATCTTCAAGTAAGTTTTCTGGTTTCAACTCTGAAGCAAAATATTTTCTATTATTTTGAAAGAAATTAGTTTGCTTTTGAGTGTGCACTAATTCTTAATTAATACTTTTTACTCTGAACTGATAGTTATGTGGAAGTTTTATGCTTCCTTGATTCTTTAGGTGCTTCTTAAGGTATTGTATTTTAGAGCATGAGTGAGATAGGATGTCTTGATGATTTGTAACTAATTGCCATTTAGGAGACTAGCCATATGAATGTAATGTGGTGTTAGTGGTTAGTGCTGATATCAAGTCTTTGGATTTGAAACCAGTTACAGCAAATCCCTAACTTCTGATGGTATTTGTGATAATGCTGATTTAAGTAGTTATGCTCCACATTGGTGGATTGGGGATTGGTCTGGCAAGTGGCAACTACCATTGTTCTAGGAATAGTTCCTGCACACACACGTGCGTGTATCTATACATGGTCGTAAAATAATCCTATGAAATTAGTGTCTGTTCAAGAACTCTATATAATTTCCTTTTCTGCTTGTTAATTTTAAATCATTTTCATATTTATCATGCTAGTCTTATCTGGTCTGCTGCAGATATTGAGCAGGCAATCCTAGATTCACAACATCGGTGGCTATGCCCAGCTGAAATATGTGTAATTCTTCGAAATTATACGAAATTTCGTTTATCCTCAGAACCTCCAAACACACCACCCAGTATGATTTCCCCCTTAAATTTCCATCTGGCACAATTTGTTTGTTCTACATATTGTTCTCATAACATCAATAATTTGCATTGGACATGAACCTCAACCTTGTTTTTGTGTAGCAGAGCCAGTACATGTATTATTGTAGATGATTAGAATACCGACTATTGATCCTATTTCTTACTGTTGTTTGGAATTACTGCCTCTTTTCTTGTTATTTTTTGAGTTCCCAGGCTCTGGAAAAAATCTGTTATGTTTTTGTCCTTAAATTTATCAGCTTATTTGTTTCCAAGAACTTTCAACAAAATTTTTTTTACTGATTATGTCTTGGAATCGGTTAGGCTAGGCTTATTCTTCCATCAACAGTTTATGTCTTATGGATAACAGATAACAAAAACATCAGTGTCTGTGGGTCTTTTCATAATTCTTTCTGTATTTCGATTATTATCTTCTCAAATAATATTCTGAATGTAAAATCCCTCCCTTGATAAATCCCATGGCTTATCAGGTAAAGGAGTGGCTTGCTCAAAATATCAATTTGGGTGCTCTCATTTAGAAAGAAGATTTGAAGTTTGAGACATTTTAAGGATAAAGTCATCATAACTAATAGAGAAAAGCTAGTGTAGAAAAGAAAGCTTGATGTGTTAATGGGTATAGAATTTGTCAGTTACCTGAAAGAAATTTAGTGTGTGCAGGAGAAAGAAACAAGGAATTTGAGATAATTCTTTATTTAATGCATAAGGAAGAAGAAACTGTTTTCAAGAACAAAAGACAGTTTTTGTTTACATACATACACTAGGTTCAAGAGTTAGTACAAAATAAATTGAAAGATCACAGGGCCAAAGTAAAGTTTTGGGTAGAGACAGATTTGCCTTATTGACTACTTAGAAGCATAGGACATCCACCAAAAAGACTAGGATCAGCTGCTACACTTCACTGGTATTATCTAAAATGGTGGAAGAAGCACCATGAGCTCACAGCCTAGTAAGTATAATTCCTAATTTAAGAATCTTCAAGTCTGTTTTATGCATATCTGCAGTTTCTTTCTCCTACCCTTTCAGCCCATCTAACAAGAAAATATAGAAAATTGCTAAGTTAGTTGCCAGACACTGATATACTCCCTCAGACAAGTTAAGTGGGTTTTAAATGCTTCCTAGTTAGCCAAACTTCATCTTAGGACACCTGTTATTGACATTAACAGGTTAATAGACACCTAGACTCCACTAATCTGATTCCTAAAATGAAATGCAACCCAAATTCTTACAGATTAGTCCTTAATTCCATAAATGGTTCAGGACCCTAACTTTTGACTTCATGCAAATGAAGACAGGAATATCACACTGAATTTGACAAGACACTTGCAGACATGCATGTGCATAAATGTTAAACGTGTGCTTCCAATCACAACTTGGTGTTATACAAGTTTCACTTTTTCAGGTGGTTCCTTTTTTCTTTTTGATCGGAAGGTGGTGCCACACCTTAGAAAGGATGGACATAATTGGAGAAAGAAAAAAGATGGAAAGACAGTTAAGGAATGTCACGAGAGGCTGAAGGTAAGGACCAAAGATGCTGCATTTAGTTTCCTATTCTAACAAAGGAAAACACGTCTCTGCAATTGATTGAGACACAATTAAGTGATGCCTATTTGCTGGAACTTCATTCTTTGGTTATCATAATGCATTCTGGTTGGGAAGCTCAATTTTTATGAATTCTTCCGCTTTCCATGTAATATATTTAACAAGCTTAAAACCTTTCAGGTTGGAGGTGTTGATGTTCTGAAATGCTACTATGCCCATGGAGAGGGAAATGAAAATTTTCAACGACGCGTTTATTGGATGCTTGAAGAGTGAGTCTGCGAAGTTTAATTCCCTTTTTCTTAGTAGTCATTTGCATACCTTGTGTAGAATTTATACAAAACAATTTCTTTTGTAGGTAAGACAATACTCAATGTCCATGGGCCCTGGCTTAGTGGGAACCTTTTATATGCTGCTACATAAATAAGCATTT